GCACAGGATCAGCAACCGTGCAGCAGCGCACAACCCCTATGTAAACACGTCACGCTGCGCGTCTGGTCCTCCTGCCAGAGGTGGCGCTGTGGTTACCGTTCAGGTGGTGTTCTGGGATTGTAGGATACTCACGGTGCGCACAGAAGCCATTCGGCCCATCGAGACTGTGCCGACTCTCCGAAGGAAAATCCCACCCCACCCCAGATCCCTCCTAACCCGATCCCTGTAGGGAGAGGGTGTGGGGGGCCGGAGGTGACACAGAGATTGGGAGGGGGTGTAGGGTGATGGAGGAGGTGACGGAGATAGGGAGGGGGGGTAGGGGGGAGGGGGGAGGTGATGGGGGTGGGGCGGGGGGGGGGGGGGGCGGGAGGAGCCACAGAGAAAGACAAGCAGTGTGGAAGATGGGGGAGGGGGTGACGATCGAGCGGGGAGTGGGGGCAGTGGGGAGGGCCTGCTCTGTCCCCGGACGGTGTCGAGCTTCTCGAGTGTTGTCGGAGCCGCGCCCCGTTCAGGTGAGTGGGGGGGGGGCCCCCCCACCTTGGGCCTTGTCGGGGGGGGGGGGGGGGTGACAGGCCTTGGGGAGTGGGGGAGTCAAGAGGGTGGGTTACTCGCTGCAGGATTCCCAGCCTCTGACCTGCTCCTTGTAGCTACAGGATTGATATGGGGTCGGGGTCCCAGTTCAGTTTCTGCTCAATGGGTAACCCCCAGGATGCTGAGATGGGGGGGGGGAGGGGGGATTCAGTGATGTTAACGCCATTGAACGTCAAGATGGTTGGGGGGGTTGGATGGTGGTTAGATCTCTCTGGTTGCAGACAATGTTTATGTGACATACATCATTGGGCTGGGGTAGGCAGCATTAAGCAGAGGTTGACGTTGTTCTCAGGACAGGAATGGGCACGGGGGCAGGGGGCCGTACCTCGACGTTGCTCCCGTTGAGATGCATCCTCCGAATCATGCTTCCCTGTGTGGTGACATCTGTCCAGTAGATGTGCTTCTCCTCATGATTGAAATCCAAAGCCACTGCGTTGTTCAGTCCCTGGGACAGAGAGGGATGGGAGCCGTAAGACGCTAGCACCCCTCCCCAGCATTCCCATGTCCCGGAACCCCGACAGCCCCCCACCCCCTCCACAAAGGTCTGGCCACGACCAGCGAAACTCCAGGGGTGAAACGCCACCTCAGTGCCCTGAGGAGGGAACACTACCATCTCCTCACCCTCTCCTCTCCTGGTATCGCAGGGTCACGCAGCATGGAAACAGACCCTTCGGCCCAACCAGTCCATGCTGACCACAACCCCAAACTAAACCAACCCCACACCTGCCTGCTCCTGGCCCATATCCCTCCAAACCTTTCCCTGTCCATGTCCTTATCCAAATGTCCTTTTAAACGTTGTAACTGTACCCACATCCACCGCTTTCACTCCACCCATGGACAACCTTCCGTGTGAAAAATCTGTCCCTCTTATCTTTCTTCAATCTCTTTCCTCACACCTTAAAAATGTCACCCCTCCACCCCCCGCCAAAGTCTTGAGATGCCTCAGCCGAGGGAAAAGGCACCTTGCCATTCGTGGTACCTGTGGCCCCTCTTGATCTACGAGGGCGCCTCTCAACCTCCGATTGAGGGAAGCCCCAGGCTGTCCATTCTCTCATTACTAGCTCGTACCCAGCAACATCCTGGTAAATCTCTTCTTACCCCTCTCCAGTTCAATCGTCTAAGGTAGTAACCTCAGGGTTATGCTCACAGCAAGTACCCACTGATGGAACGCTGCGCTGTCGGAGGGTCGGCATCGAGGGAGCGGGCGCTGTTGGAGGGTCGGCATCGAGGGTGCGGGGCGCTGTCGGAGGGTCGGCGTCGAGGGAGAGGGGCGCTATCGGAGGGTCGGCGTCGAGGGAGCGGGGCGTTGTCGGAGCGTCAGCGTCGAGGGAAAGGGGTGCTGTCGGAGGATCAGCACCGAGGGAGGGGGCCCGTCGGAGGGTCGGCGTCGGGGGAGCGGGGCGTTGTCGGAGGGTCAACGCCGAGGGAGCGGGTGCTGTCGGAGGGTCGGCGTCGAGGGAGCGGGCGCTGTCAAAGGGTCAGCGCCGAGGGAGCGGGGCGCTGTCAGAGCGTCAGCGCCGAGGGAAAGGGGTGCTGTCGGAGCGTCAGCATCGAGGGAAAGGGGTGCTGTCAGAGGATCAGCACCGAGGGAGTGGGCGCTGTCTGAGGGTCAGCGCCGAGGGAACGGGCGCTGTCAGAGGGTCAGCGCTGAGGGAGCGGGCGCTGTCAGAGGGTCGGCGCCAAGGGAGCGGGCGCTGTCAGAGGGTCAGTGCTGTTGGAGGGTCGGCGCTGAGGGAGCGGGCACTGTCGGCGGGTCGGCGCCGAAGGAGGGGGGCATGGTTGGAGGGTCAGCGGTCTGTGTTGATGATACGATGTGCCCTCACCTGCTTTAACAATGTGTAGTTGGAGCCATCGAGATTGAGTTTCCTCAGATAGTAACGGTTAGCAAAGATCAGGAAAGCTTCATCATCTACAGAGAGAGAGAGATATACAGGGAAATGAGACACGGATTCTCCGTTACACTCCCACGAGCTAATACACGGATGTATCCATTAGCAAGAGCTCTTGGCACGAAAATACTAACATGACCTTCCTACAGCTTAACCTGGATATTTAACCAAACTCCTACAGTCCCCTACACCCCCTCCCTATCTCTGTAAACCCCTCCAACCCCCTACACCCCCTCCCTATCTCCGTAACCTCCTCCAAACCCCTACACCCCCTCCCTATCTCCGTCCCCTCCTCCAATCCCCTTACACGACTGTGTGCAAGAGACAGACAGTACATGTGAGAGACAGAGAGAGAGTGTGCGTGCGAGACAGACAGTGCGTGTGCGAGAGACAGGCAGTGCGAGCATGCGAGAGAGAGAGACAGTGCATGCGAGAGTGTGTATTAGAAACAGACAGTGCATGCGAGAGAGAGAGAGAGTGCGCGAGGGACAGACAGTGCATGCGTGAGAGAGAGAGAGAGAGTGTGCGAGAGACACAGACTGTGTGTGAGAGAGAGAGAGTGTGCGAGGGACAGACAGTGCATGCGAGAGAGACAGAGTGTGCGAGGGACAGACAGTGCATGCGAGAGAGAGAGAGTGTGCGAGAGAGAGAGAGAGTGTGCGAGGGACAGACAGTGCATGCGAGAGAGAGAGAGAGACTGTGCGAGCGACAGACAGTGCATGCGAGAGAGAGACAGAGACTGTGCAAGCGACAGACAGTGCATGCGAGAGAGAGACAGAGTGTGCGAGGGACAGACAGTGCATGCGAGAGAGAG